CTGTCGAATCCCTTCAGCCAAGGAGGTAACTGGTTTAGGAAAACAGTTAACAGGAGGGAAGGAGAACCTTATTTTAAACCACTGGGGAGTAAACCTTTGTCAGACACGAAACATACGGTCACATTAGATAACGGACATGTGATAAGAAAATCGGACTTAGCTTTTAACAAAACCCAACCGGCAGCTCCTAAGACCTTCACGGCAAGACCGAAAGCGCTAATTAATAGTAATGATTTAGCAGGCAAGCGAAAAAGAAATTCCCCTTCCAAGAGACGAGACTCAAATATAGGAGGCCCTTCGATGACTTTCTCACCAACGGGTGGAAATTCAAGCAAAAAGAGGAGATCATTCTTCACGACCTCGAAAGGTTCAAAATTCGACTATAATAATCTAGATTCGTCGTTAGCGTTAGACCTTTGGGATAAAGTCATTGACGACTACTTGGGTACGGAATCGGAAATTGTTTATAATACACCAACTGTTAACCTTCATAGTAATTTAGATCAACCAAGGAGTACCATATAAAGCCAGACAAACACTGAGACAACATTCAATTTACCAACGGGCACAAGCGACGACCCAATTCGAGTGGATAGCTCTCCGGAGAAGACAGTGGAGACACCAAAAACCCCGATATCTTCAAAACATCGTGTAAGAAGAAACCCAGGCCCCCCGAAATTCTATGGCGATAGACGGTTTATCGACCAAGTGACGCTCGGTACGGAGACCATTAGTGCAGTAGACTCCGATGACGAACCGCTTATTACGTTTTCCGGTGCAAAGAGTCCGAAACAAATTCCTTCATTCTGTACGACGTCCCCCTCGGATTATCTTACACCCATTGACGAGATCCCACGTCATACGATTTTGGTTGCTGAAACCACTCAAGACGAACTCTCAACACCTTCCTCTCAGGCGACAAGGACCGCATGGGTATCGTCACCATTGGTAGAAGTGACCAGTAATACTCAGGATGACAACGTTAGTGACATATCCTCGGGCATCGATACCGATGTAAGAATAGAAGCAGATAATTTCCATACTAGATACAACTCTACGGTCTCAAACTCCGAAAACGTTTAAACTGTGGTATTTAAACGTATTTGATTTAGCTTTTATCCATTGGATACCCAGAGCTTTTTTTTTTAGTATTTACCTAGTTAGTGAGTTAGTTAGTTTTCTTTAATTGTACAAATGCCACATAACCCCAATTGTACATATCATTTTGTACATTCAGTGTTGATATCTGTGTAAACCTGTATGTAGCATGTATATATTACCATGTAATTACCTCCATTGTAACTTGTACTCTCTGTAAAAATCCATTGGTGCTAAATGCGGTTACGTTTTGTTTCTTCTTTGGCCCTGGTGGAGCGAGGGGAGATGGAGTATATGTGTGATATTGGCTACATCGTTGAGCGGGCAGATATTAATTTTTGTGCACTGGGGAATGTTGTGATTCAGTTTTTTTAGTATGTTATAACCTTGACCTCTATTACCTAATTACGTACCAGTCAATGTTAACTCTACGAAGTCCAGTGGACTTCGACTCACTAGTTGCTCTTTTTAGACTACAGTCGGTTTTAATTCAACCAATACTTTTATTCTCTTTTAACTTTAGTTAGATACAATAGTTACCAGTGGTACATCTTAACTCTTTATTATCAGTATAGATTTTTCAATACTGCATTTACGATATCATATCTTAACTCAGAAGACTCAGTCAACATCCTACCTCCAAGTTGTTTGGGGGATGATGTTAACTTGGTACTAAATTTGCAGCCGTTTTCAGCAAATTTTCAGCCGATCAAATTCAAACATTTTACGTGCAGAGTTAGCCAATTTGTTTTAAAATGATCACTGGGGTAGATGATTTGAGCTTGATCTATTTGAGGGCGAGGATGTTAACTTGATCCCTAACTCTTCACGTAAATGAGATAAGAGTTAAGTAAAAAAAATAAAAATCAATTGGTACGTTCATCTTCCATACTGTTCGAATTTTTGAAATGAAAAAACTCTACTCACTTCACGAAAACGCTTGCACTCAAACATTTTTTTTGAAAACCACCGATACCAAAATTCAACCAAAAAAAACCTGAGCAAGAGACATGCTATGTATTGGTTGCTTTTCAAAACAGTCATTTTTTAAATGACCAAACAGGATATTTAAAAAAAGTATTAAGCATGCTATCAACCTAAAACTTTTCATAATTTTAATGGAAGACTCTGGAAAAGCAGCGACAGTATGCCCGAAATGACAAAAGATGATAGTCTCACCATTTTTTGAACATGGAAAAATTGGGGTCTTAAGAAAAAGTTTCATAGCGGTTTCCATACAACTCCATAGACAAATGACAAAAAAATCTGGTTTTTCAAAACACTTGATTCAAACTTTTGCATATGATTGATCTTTCTTGGGAACTAATTGATTCTTGTACAGGCAAAAAAATGGAAAAATCAAAACTCCAATACATAATATTGAAGATACAAACTTAATGGCTTCTGATTATTTAGATCCTTTTCTCCTTACCCAGGGCATAAAAACATGCAAAGCCAGAAAACATATTTTTGAGCGTTTTTCAGAAAATTTATCTAGAAAAAGGGAAATTTTGTGTTTGTGGGCTCTTAGTATCTTATAATAAGCTCAAGATTTAAGTTTGTAATTTTACATGCAAAAAATCAGAATAAATTCGTTTGCTCAAAGAACTCGTTATTGTTTTACGATCAGTTCGTCACCAAAATTGTTGTTCATGTTGTTTTCAAGTATGAAAAAGATAGCCGGTTATTGTGCAAATGTCACAGCAGAGCGCTAAAAAGACTGAAACACACCCCAATACGAAGTTTTATCCAATTTTCAATAGTCGGAATAAAACTGAATGATAAGCTTTTTGATCCCAAAAAAAATTCTTTCGTTTACAACGACTTATTGGCGTTTATGATAATAATTTCTGATTTTGCATAACTGTTCCATGAACAGTGTCCTTCTGTAGGTTTAGATTATGTAAATTTAAGGTTTGATTTGTGGGTCTATGGACGGAGGGAGGGCAGGTCAAAAATTAATTGTACAAAAAAAAATAATTCGGTGCAATTGCGATAGAAGCCTCCCAGTGAAAAGCAAGTGCCCCAAATCACGCTACGTCTGAACAAATATATAATTAAGTGAAATAAGTGGACGCCACTTAGAGTTTTCGCAAAGAAAAAGATAACTTGATTCATTTTGCGCTAAATGATTTTATGTTTTAATTGGCATCACCGAGGCAAAAAATGAACAATTTTTAGGCCTCGTATTTACATTAAGGACCCCTGTTAGTTTCAAGGGACCCTACAACACAATTGTACCCAATTAGCATCTAATTCACACAACCCAAAATCAATTTGTAATTATTGTAAAGTTAATGGCAAGCACGAAGCATCACTCTTAGTGGCTAACAACTTTTGACACGAGTTCTTTATTCCAGTATTTTTTGTTGATTTCCAGAAATAACTGCATTTCCAGGTTTTGTGGTAACAAAGTTTGCCGAAGATCAAAACAAGCAACATAAATTGAAGTGACTTTTTTTCTGAGACGACTGTGCGGGTTTTTCTAAAAAAAAGTGTTTTTGGTTAATTTAATTGCAATCAATTGGCAGAGCGCAATCAATTATTTGCACCCGGGTTGACGTCCATAGAAGAAAAATGCTTATCATACAGTTTCATTTTAAAAGTTTTTAATGAACATTTTTGGTCTAATTGCCTCTTTTGAAGCTTTCTGGTCATTAAAAAAATAATTTAAAATTTTTTATAAAAAATGCTTGTCATACAATTTTCATGTATGAAAATTATTAAATAGTCATTTTGTCATAGAAAAAATAAAATTTTCAAGAATCACCAAAAAACGTGTCTGGGTAACTTTAAATAGATTTACCTAAGTATATCTATGATAGAGGGCATATTGACAATCAAAAACATAATTTTAATTTCGGTCAGAAAAATGCTTATCATAAAGTTTAAAGTTTTCATATATGAAAAATGTATAATATGCATTTTTTTCATAAACAAAAATAAAAATTTGAGGTATAAAATTTCTAATCCCTTTTTTGGCTGCAAATTTGCTTTTGTGCTAAAATATAAATTTTACGAAAAAAAAAGTTTGCATGCGAAATTTGATATTTTTGCGTTTATACCGTAGTCCAGGATGAGTTTCTCACCCAAAAAACCCAAAAATCACATGCAAATGTTTTTTCTTGTAAACACGATTATTATCTTTTGTTTCATTTGCAAAAATAAAAATAAAATTGTAAAAAAAACAGGCCTTTTTTTCTCAACCATCATAATTTTCAAGCTAAAAATTATCTAGCCATATTCAAAAAAGCATTTTTTGGTATCTATTTCCATGTGAAAATGTTAAATTTAACTTTTAAAGCTGAAACCCTCAAATACAGTTTATCTGCGTGGCAACTGCCAGTTACTCTCTGGGTTTTCTCATGACAAAAAATCCTTGGTTAGTGTTTCGGTTGAAACATGAAATTTCGAAACAAAAATTTTCTGAATATTCATTTATCGAAAAATTTCTTATCATACAATTTCATAGTATGGAAACATGCTTATCATACAATTTCATATATGGAAAAAATGCTTATTTTGCTATTTTCATACATATTGTTTTACTCTATGAAATTGTATGAAAGAGTATAATAAGCATTTTTTTCATAAATGAAAAATGTATGATAACCATTTTTTGTCAACCCGGGCAATTAAAAACTTCAATGAGTTGCATTTAATTGCATTGACAATTATTTTTTGGCCTGCCATTTTTGAAGGTCAACCCGGGTGCTAGCCTTGAGTGTTTTCCTGTGCTGATTTCTCTTGAGGAAAAAAATGAAATGACAATGTTTTGTTGAGATTGAGGGCCATTCACTTCTTAGATAGCGCCATGTTCACTCGTCTTGTAACGAGAATTGGACAGAGGATTTTTCTACAAGCAGTTAAGATTTCTGGTTTAAAGTTTTTCTAAAATTTAGTCGACGGTGGAAACTTCTATACGCTGTCTGACACCAGCTGCAAAATCATGCATATGCTCAGTTTCATGACAATGACCGCACCAGATTGGATGGCTGTGCTCGTGTCGCTCGACAGAATCATCGCTGTCCACAAGAAAGGAACGAACGAGTCTCATTCAGCAGCTCTAGGAGCTTTTTTTGTAAATTCGAAGCGCAATTGTTAAGCACCAATTGTTTTCGCTATTGTTTGGCGAAAAAAATTCAATGACTTTGTATTGCGAATACCATGTAAGAAATCGTTTTAGCGCATTTCATCGCGCAAAAAAGATGAAACAAGCGCCATCTTAACAAAAAAAAGTTAGCCCATCAAAACAAAGAAAAACATTCGATGAAAAAATATTGGAAAATGAGGAAACGTTTTTTTTTGCAAACTATTTGCTCCAATTTTCTCGAAACCAAACCTGCAGAAAAACTCTGCTGAATCGCTCAAGATAGAGTTAGTTTGAATCTGAAACAGGGATTAGAAAAAACTTTAAAAACCTGCAGTTTCTAATGGTATGCTTACAAATTTGATTGTTTGAGCGCGTGTGGAAATAAGACTCATTCTGATCATGAAAAAACAGGTGGAGTGTGGTACAAGCAGAACTGCACCAAGAAGGCAGCCTTCATCCCTGTCTTCATTGCAATCTTCATCCTCTTCGTCATAGGCGCTCCACGGCTGCTCTATTTGTGATCAATTTCTTTAAGTGTGGGGGGGGGAATTATTGGAGAAGAGGGGAAGGAGGGGAGGAGGGGGTGGGGGAAGCAATTTTATAGAAACACTCTACTCTACGATTTTCCTTAAATGCTCAAATTATTCAAATTTTTTAAATAGGTAAATGGAGAGCAAAAATTTCTAAATTATTATGCCAAAACATTTCAAAAAAAACAAAGTACGCCGGTTTGACGTTAATGTTGCACAAATGCAACCAAATTGAAGCAACCCCGCTTGACCTCCGTACACTGAAAATGCTTTTCATACAAATACAATCATCAAGTGTGTGGAAAATTGTTTGTCATACAATTTTCATGGGCAATGAATAAACGCAATGAATTTCTTAAAATAGAATGGAACTTTTTGAGCTCTGCTAAAATTTGACACTTTTTTAGTTTTTCGTCATAATGAATGCTAACTGTCTTAGTGTAGAAGCTTTTTTAACAACATGAGTTCCCGTTGTTTTTATCTACAAGTATAAATCGTTTTTTTTTAGAATACTTGCTTGTGTTTTTTCAGTTCAAAGTAGCCTTTTGATTTTGAAACAATTTTCTGTTTTTGATTTTTTTGATGTAATTCAATTCTATTTTCTTCAGTGTTGTATCATCAATATATAAATTTTTCTTCATTTACTTTGTAGCTTTTGGTAAATCATTTATAGTTAACAGGAACAGTTGTATCCCGAGGACGCTTCCCCGTGAAAGTTTGCAGTTGGTTGTTTTCAGTTTTTCACCATTTAGAGCCTGTTTTGACTACTTGTAATTACATTTCAGGAATTATTGGAAACAAAACTAAACGGGACTTCGGCTTTTTGTAGAAGTGTTTCAGGTGACGCAAAATGAAACGTTTTTTTAAATGAACACCCAAATTGCAATTTTTTTGCTGATTTTGCTAATCATAGTTTTATTTTCATCATCTATCGAGGATTATTGATTTTCATTTTCTTTGTTTTAAATTGGAACGAATATGTTTATGTTCTGTGTAATTATCTGATTGTGGTACGGCAGGAGGACCGCCCCTTATGAAAATGTTATTGTGTTATTAAGATTTTGTTAAAGCTCATAGTGATAGTATGAATGAGCTCGGTGATGTTGCTTGATATATCAAGGTCGATACCAGCCGACCGAGTAAGCGGCTTGATGTTGATTGAAAGAATAACTCTCCTTTTTTCTGGCGAAAGATACAGAATACGTTACGTTATCAATTTACATTATACACTTTGTTTTATCAGTTAAGTGTCTGTCGGTTGTTATCCCACATGGCGCATTCAGCAGTTTCGGTCGGCGAGGACCGAACTGATCTTATAGGGGTACCAGTTTTCTGGCCCAAACCAACAACAGAGCCTTTTTTCCTCTGGGAATCCTGGATTGGACAACTTTTCTTAGCCGGAAATCTAAGAAAACATTGTAACGCCAATATTCACTACACAAATGCATTTTTCTATGAGGCGGACCAAAGGATCAAATCGCGATTATTCTTCTCTTTGGGACAAAAGGTATTAAAAGATTCTGATAAAGCCACGCTCATGTAGATATCGCAACGATCAACTTCCGCGACTTCTACAATTGCGAGACACTGCGAGAAACTTTGCGAGACACTGTTCAAAAAAGGACCAAAACTATGTTATTGAAAGAATAAATCTCTACAACACGCAACAATCAGATCGCGAAAGTCTGGAGACCTTCCTGAGAATTTCGGGCTAAGCAGCCCAGAGGGGTTGGGCAATTGACATTAAAAAAGAGGTTGTCCGTGACATCGACATCTTGATCGCCAAAATGAGATTCAAAAACATTCAACGTGATCTTTGTACCGGACCGGGTAATTCTCCTGAAGAAATCATTAAATCGGCTCTCCTTCAAGAGAAAGGCTGTGTCACTGCCTCTACTTTGCAAAAACAGATGGGTCTCTCAGGACCGTCTAACACAAATACTTATTCCGGTCAGAACTATCCAAATTAATTTAAAATCGAACAGGAACCAACCCTATCAGTTCGGCGAAAAAACAACATCCAAGACAGAACATATCGAGCACAAAGCTCTTGAGGGAAATTCAACAACAGGCATAATCAAAACCAACAAAGAGTGTAGAACAAAGAATGTAGAGTCTTACAACAAAGAATGTAATTATGTACCTAACCCTGTTCTTAAACAGGGTGTATCAGAAAGCATCCCTTGTATAAACAATAGTTTGTACATATACTGGTCTGTTCAGACCAAGTATTCTGACGATTGCACAAAACCACAAGAGGGCGACAGAAAATTAGCCAGTAGCTTTGTCCAATCAGAAAGGATTAATAATTACAGACTCATACCGCAAGAGGACTCAGTCAATTTAGGCAAATTTTCAAGCCAAACAAATCTCGCCAAAATGTATTATGGATGCACACCGCGAGAGGGCGCTACTATTTTATGCACATATTTGAGCCAATCACAGTTGAGCAAACTGTATTATGGATGCACACCGCGAGAGTGCGCATTTAATTTAATGCACAGAATTGAGCCAATCACAATTGAGCAAACTGTATTATGGATGCTCGCCACAAGAGGGCGCCGTTATTTTATGCACAGAATCGAGCCAATCACAATTGAGCAAACTGTATTATGGATGCTCAGCACGAGAGGGCGCGGTTATTTTATGCACAGAATTGAGCCAATCAGAATTAATCAAACTGTTTTATGGATGTTCGCCACGAGAGGGCGCAGTTATTTTATGGACAAACGGGAACCAATAAGATCGGAGATGTTGTACTCAATTCTCGTTCAGAATTTCTGAGCATTCTATCATATCCTGTAATATAACCCAGTCTCTTCCTGTACCTATTTGTAAAATATCAAAAACATCTGTGCCATATTGTCAACATCAGTCTGTCATTATCGGATCATCAACTTGTAAAAAAACTTTAATTTTAGATTTGTCGAATGCTTCGGAAGAGCCTATAATGGATATGTGTCTTAGATGACTCTCGAATGAAGTCGCGCCTCTTCATAAAATTGTTCAAGACCTACCTGCAGACATAGGGCGAAGAGACTAAGACGAATGTCGTCAGCGGAAGCAGGTGATCTCCGACGAACCAAGCACGCCACTATAATCGCGAACTTCCGTAAGCAAAGAATGATTAGACTGAAACGAACGAAAAAACAAGTAAATCGAGCCTCACTGGGTCAAAGAAGACTCAACAAAGATAAAAAGTCACTACCGGGACTGATTGAAATTTTAGACGCAGACATACTCAGCGAGCTAACAGACAAAGGTGCACCGATCAGACTGAAGAAGACAACGATAGTAAGAAAGGATTAGCACCCTTACATCTAGACCTTTTGGGACTCAGCTGCATCAATGACAGAATCGCGATCCCAAATTGTCTCCAACGGGCAGTGTTGTCCCGCTTGCAGTGTTGTCCCGCTTCTTGACCCTGGTCAAGAAGCGATGGTTGACATAACCCAAAATTTACGGTGGCCGAGGATCCATATGGACGTAAGAAACCTAAGCAAGAACTGCAGAGAATGCATCAAATTCAGTAGGTAATTAAAACCAATGAGTCCTTTTAAAATTTACAAATCTTTTCCTCTACTAAATGCTCCCAAGGAGGAAATTCAGCTAGACTACGCGGCCCCTTTATAAGACAGTGTAGACAGTGAACTGTATATTCTGAGAGCTATCGAAGGTTATTCTAAATATCCGTCTGTAATGCTAACCAAATCGACTGGAGTCAACAACTTTTTAAAATACTTGGAGAACTATATTTTTACGCATAGTATTCCAAAGGCAATCAGAACAAATCAATGTTCTGGTTATAAAAATAAGGTTGTAGATCAATTTTGCAAATCAAAAAGCATTAAACACATTTCACCGGGGTTGCGGATTGGTCGAGCGTGCAAAACAGACGATTAAAAGGAGATTGGGAACTTTACAGTTGGAAGATAATCCACCAGCTAACAATTCGGCTCCAAAAATGATAATCCAAGATATACGGATAGCAAAAAAGTCAGTTACAAGACTATCTCCGTTTGGATTAGATTTTGGCAGGAAGCTAAATTCTGAATGGTCGTTAGCGACCGACAATTTTAAATCTAAACTACTTTTAGACGAGCAAAACCTGGAAAGAGATCTCTCGACTGCAGAGGTCAGAAAAGAGACTTGCGACAGCAGACCTCGCATCAAAGTAGCGAGGAAGGGCTGCCAAAGCCGAGATGTATCGCCTAAATTCAAACAAGAAACTACACAGATGGCGAACACACCTTAGTATAGATCCCTCGAACATTTAGCCAAATCAGCGAATGAATGGATGGTTTGGAAAAAGAAGCTGACTCACGAAGAAGGAGCCGGGCTCTTCGCACACTAGCAGAGAGATATCAACTGCTAGCGGTTTCTCTCAGAAACAGCTTAACAACAGGGACTCTGAGATTTAGACAAGATACATCGGATTCGCCAACATCCAATGCAAAATGTAAACTAGAGTCATTGCTCTTATCTAATCCAAAATCAGTAGAGGTACCCAGGACAGTGGTAAATCGCAAGTCAGGGAAACAACTATTTAAACGTTTTTTGGATAAAATTATCATAGCTACTTTTTCAACTAATATAAGTAGGGAAAGTTATTAGAAAAAGTGACAATTCATAAATGTTAAATAGTTCCCAAGTTTCAGGTCGACAAGAACCCAGCAAGCCAGTAACCGGAAAAACAATAAAGAGACGAAGAAAATTCTCGTCATCTTCCTCATCAGTCGAGCTGATAGATCCGAAGGCACAAGTACACCCGAGACATCTGTCAGCGTCAACAAAACTGGCAGCACCGGCGGTCCCTTTCCAAGAGAAATTTCGGAGGATTGCACCCAGCGTATCCAGAATGAGCACACCGATCCAGACTCCTAAACCACCAGTTCCGATATTGGACCAAACACTATCGTCGTCAAGTTCAGGAGGTGTCATCAACACACCAATGGCGATCTCTTCACCCATTGAACAACCGTCAAGTTCTAAAACAGCTCCGATTTCGGTCAAGATTGATGATAGAAGATCCTATAAGACCAGGAGAGTCACAATACAACCTGGTGCAGAGGTTGTCTCAGATGCAGCTAAATTAGTGCCAGTGTTCTTGGAAGATTTCCAGGTAGCGGAATCTAATGTTACTCCGCAGTCCTGCCCCCTAGAAATTGTAAACTAACTCCGGAAACCAGCCCAATAAAGTCGGCAGACACCCCACAAAAATTCACACTAGATACTAGAGCAGAGCAGGATGTGAAAGAATCATTGTCGTCGCAAACTTCAGGACGCAGTAGGAAGCAGACACAATTCTACGGCAGTCCCATACGTCATGCGGTAAAGGAGGTAAAAAAAGCCCTAAAATAGAGCCTCAGAAGAAGGAGAACTAGCGAAAACTAAAACTGAAACATTCAAAACTCTTATTTTAACTTACTTTTCAACTTATAATTTCTGTTGATCAAAAATTTTTGAAAGGGGGGAAGTGTGGTACGGCAGGAGGGCCGCCCCTTATGAAAATGTTTTTGTGTTATTAAGATATTGTTAAAAGTCATTGTGATTGTGTGAGTGAGCTTGGTGATGTTGATTGATATATCAATGTCGGTACCAGACGACCGAGTTAGCGGCTTGATTTTGAATAAAAGAATCACTCTCTTGTTTTCTGGTGAAAGATACAGAATACATTCTTGTCAATTCCATTTCTCAATTTACATTATACGCTTTGTTTTATTAATTGAGAGTCTATCGGTTGTTGTCCCACACTGATGAACGAAATGAAAAAACTCACAACGTTCTAAATTTGTCCTTTCATCGTCGTGCGTTTGCACTTCATTTCATGCAGAATTGAGGTAAGACTGTGCTAAAATTAGTGCCGTTATAAACAAAAACCAAATTCAACTCCTCTCCTTTATCTTTCTTGATTTTTTATTCGCTTTGAGTTCTCCTTTGAACTTAGTTCATGATCTGTTTGCCAGTTTTTTGGTCGTCAAGAGATGAAGGATTCCTTTTTTAAATAAAAGCTGTTATATTCAGTGGATATAATAAATTTTACAGAGATTCCAATCTTAATAAAATAGCCAATTTTTTTGATCTGTTTAAACGGTATTTCGAAGTGAAAAGAGCAAAATTGTATGGCCAAAACTTTGCCAACCTTTCTGGTAAAATTGCCAGCCCGTTGAAGCCCTTTTCTCAATTATAAAATCACTTGTCGATGGGCACAACGCTTCAATTGTTTTTTATTCGACTCGCCCGTGTATCTGTACTTTTTTGGGATCGAAATAGCAATTAGCCTCCCCCTCCCCCTCTTCCAAGAAGAAGGTAATTGTTGAGTAGATTAAATTAGGTCGACCAATCAGAACTTTGGACCAATAGAATTCACAATAGAACGCTCTAGTGCTAGTTTACTAATTTTCTTCGCTCATTTTCTGCAAAAATTTTCTGCAAAAATAGAATTCACAATAGTTTTCTGCAAAAATTTCTGCAAGAATTCACAATAGTTTTCTGCTTACTAATTTTCTGCAAAAATAGAATTCACAATAGAACGCTCTAGTGCTAGTTTACTAATTTTCTTTTTGTCCAGACAATTTTTTCACTAGATTGCATGGGGTGGGGACGGTTCCCAAGTGTATCCCTTATGCATAAGTACTTTTTAGCGGTATTGATGAAGCTGCCAAACGCGCCAAGTGTGCTCCGAAGACATCAAATGTACTCATCCAGAATACTCGGGAACTGATCTCGCTCCCGAGTATCCTAGTCATGGCAGTTCTGACGACGATCCTGGTCGTAATGCTGCGACGGCGAATGAAGGGGACGAACAATCGAGTAAATAATGACACCGCTCATGTGCAGAGAGTACTGGATAACAACGCGGTGAGTTTACGTAGTAGCTAAGGAACAGCTATATATTGCATCGAGAAACTTTGTGAACAAATCGAGACACACAGTATCGAGATGCGAATGAATTTCAAGATGTAAAAAAATTTGCTGCCCATCTGGTATCAAATCTTTCTGATGAAACCGAACAAAATATTTGAAGCATTTAATTATTTGAAAAAACATTCACGCTAACCCGCAATTTTGTTTCTTTATTGTTTTAGTTGATTGCTCTAAGGAAAACATTGCCGTAGCCAATCAAATATTGCACTAGTGTTTCAAAAATTGCACTAGTTTCAAAAATTGCACTAGTTTTTTAAAGATTGCATCACTTTTTCATATAATTCACTAGTTTTTCAAATACGGCCTCGAAACAAACTGAACACGTGTGTTTTACACGAAAAAAAGCTCAGTATTACTGAACAAACAAATAGTCGTGCCTTTATAACAAAATATGTTGACATGCAGTGTTTTTGGAACTAATTAGTTTTAAGTAAGGCATTGATTTTCACTTCAAATTGTTTCAACTTTTTGTTTCAAGACTAAAATTATTATTTTTCAAAAACAAAGTTTTTTTTACTTATTTTTAATTTTGCGATTTTGTAGTATTCAATGTATAAATGCAGACAATCGAAACATTCATCGCAGTGATTACTTAGTTATTGCATATGCAATCATTTTTTTAAGCCGATTTCTAACATGGCCGAACTTTGAGCAGATGTGAAGGTGGTGATTTTTTCCTGAAGACTTTCCAAAAACTTTTCTTACTGGTCTGGGCAAGGTCTTGCAGTTAGTCAAGCAGAACTGCACCAAGAAGGCAGCCTTCATCCCTGTCTTCATTGCAATCTTCATCCTCATCGTCATAGGCGCTCCACGGCTGCTCTATTTGTGATCAATTTCTCTTTTCATATGAATAAAGTGGGGGGGGGGGGGGTTTGTGGGTGGAGAAGAGGGGGAGGAGCGAATGAGGGGGTGGGGAAGCAATGTTATAGTAACACTCTACTCTACGATTTTCCTTAAAAGCTCAAATTTTTTATTAGGTAAATGGAGCGCAGAAATCTTTTTTAAGCCGATTTCTAACATGGCCGAACTTTGAGCAGATGTGAAGGTGGTGATTTTTTCCTGAAGACTTTCCAAAAACTTTTCTTACTGGTCTGGGCAAGGTCTTGCAGTTAGTTTATAATATATTTTTGAAGAAAATACCATAAACTCTCTAATTTGGCCAATTCGTTAATTAAAAACCTGACTTACAATTTTGAACAAAACGTTTTGAGATGGTGCTGAAATTTGATTGGCTAATTCTAACCAAAAATAGTGAAGCAAAATATTTTCAGTTCAAGACGTTGAAGAATATTATCAGCTCAAGACGTTGCAGTTTTAATTTTTGATCGGAATAAGTAAAACGTCTCCAACATTTTAATGGTTTGTTTCAGATTGATTGAATGAATTTTTTTATGTCTCAGCATCATAAACAAATTTTCAAGGCGCGCCTATTGGATTTTAGATTAGGACCAAGTTGGTCCTTTTTTGAACAACATTTAAGCCTTCAAAAAATGATGGGAGATAATAGGGTTTTGCGAGTTTCAGCTCTAGGGGTCAATAGTTTAGAAAAATGTGATAACTTTATCAGAAACTATTATTTTGACCGCCGAATTTTGACTGAACAAAAATAAACCAACCCAATCACAAACACTCCGTCCGTTTTTTTTCTGGAAAACCGGAACAAAAATTGTTGTGTTTTAAGCTTGTTTTATTTCAGGTGTCTCTAGCTCTGATGGTTTACTGCGTACTGTACTGCATATTTGGGATAGCCCAACAAACACTGCTCATCATGAGCAACAGGGTGAGAGTACATTATATTTGCTTCCACTCCGTCCTGATCGGACGAAAAACTAGGTTTTTTAGGTAGTTTCTTTAAAGTAGATTATGTGATCGTTATCTGAAATTTCCAAAAAATCGGGAGAATTGTTCTCAGATTCACGCATCTAAATACTGTTTTTGGGCTTTCACGCAATGTTTTTTGTCGAAAAGGCTGTTTTTTAGCAAGCGCTTTTTCATCGGCGAGAAGTCAAATTTACAACCTTTAGGGTAAAATATTAGCTTGGTGGAACAAAACGGGCGTCATAAATTGAAAACAAATTTTAGGCGAAATTTAGGAGAAATAGTTTGCTGTACGTTTTCAGCATCATCAACAAATTTTCACAGCAAGCATATTTTATTGCAGAGCATAATCAAGTTGGTCCTTTTTTGAAACACCACAAAACATTCAAAAAACGATGGGAGAAAGTATTCTTTTTAGAGTTTCAGCTTTAGGGGTCAATAGTTTTAGGAAAAATTTAGAAAGGAAAATTCGAGAAGGAAAAATGGATGAGCCTGATTACGCCAAAAAAGCTTATTTTGTCGGACTTTTTTAACACCCTGTGTAGTCACTGATAGCCACTAGATAACCAAACGAGGACCGATAGCTAAAAAGAACAATATGTTTACATTTATCATTGATAACTAGAAACTGAAAATACAAAATTTCCAGAAAAATTCAAGAAAATCACAACTGAATGTGAAATTAGAAAAAAAACTATTGAGTTTTGCTCTGTTTTTATAATCTAATTTATTTGCTCTGGAATGAAATCAGTTGACCTATCAAATGAAAAAGAAGCAACCAATTCAGAAAAGTTTTCTTTTTAGAAGCAGTCGTTTTCTTTGATTATATTTCCGCATCATAAAACTTATAAAATCGTCTGAGACGCTTTTTGAGCCGTTCCAGCTTCAATTGCACACTGATTTGTTAGTTTGCATTTTTTTTGTATCATTGACATCATAAATTTTCACATGATCTACCTCAAGGAGATCGAAACCACACAATTGTTCGAAGGGGGGTGGCTTTTCAAAAATTATGTCGATCATTTGTAAGGTCAACCAAATTGATTTTGCTAGCAAAATGCGGTTTTTAGGCCTCTTTTGGGAAATTTTGACAAAAAATTGTGTTTTTTTTTTGGCGCGCGCTATAACTCACAGCTTGTATATTGGCACCTAAGACACCTTTAGAAGTTCGTCGGCCGAAAAAGATGTCATAATATAGTACCAAAGGGGACCCTTTGATTGGCGAGGGGAACGAACTCCTGATGAGAAGGATGAAGGGGAAGACGTTCCTCCTGATTCCGCTCCTGTCTAAATGGAATCTAAGGGTTGGTGGGGGGGGGCAGGGGGTGTGTAGGTTTAGTTGATACGATGATACGAAAGATAATCGCTCTTCATTTCCAATTATTTACTTTAGGGAGTGACAACGAGTAATTTGGTGCGTCCTTTGGCACACACTTTGTCTGCAGTGGGACTTGGAGCGAGAGCATTCAGCTACCTGGCCATACCCACCATGCGCAACGCACTCAAAAACTCAGTCAAGAACATCTGTTCTTCTAAATAAAATCCTCTCACGCTAGAAAGTTATACAAGAACATCACAACCATATAGAAATTATCATATTTGAACCTGGCTAATGAAGATGAAAAAAAAAATTAAAAGTCGAAGGAGAATGAATGTAACATCATAATAAAATTTATCATAATAACTTAAGAATTTTGAAGCCATCAGTTCATTCAAATTTTATGCTAGTCCGTTGTGCAATTTTTCTTGTGATGCTTTTTATGCTGAATTTTTTAACGCAAAATTATTTAAGAATTGAACTTTCTAATTGAGTCCAATGCTTTTTATTGCAAAATACCATCAATAAACGATTCAAACTTTCAATTCTTGATGTTCTGCTGCTAATTTTTTGCTGCCTCTTCTCAATAAGAGTTTGTTCGATCTTGACTGCACCCTTCTCCCAAAGCTATCAAAACTGTTCCTCAAACTTTTTCCTGAAAATCATTCGAATTTTATAAACTTATCATTCCGATTCTATCCTGAAATTAAAAATTCAATCATATCTTGTTTTATACAACGCTAAAGTGCGAGTAATAAGCCGGCAAAGTTTGAATCTCTTTCATAAAATTTGTACAGATCGGAAAAATCAATCATCATATACTTTCCCAATCTTGTCTTGGTGCATGTCTCGAATTATGCTTTGAAAGAGTTCACTTGAACACGGATGTAATTCGACCCAAAATCTTTGGTAGAAAACAGCCCTTTCGATGGAACACAATTTCGTGTCATGGAAGAACCCAAAGTCGACCATCAAGAATGGTCGACACAAAGTCGAACAGAAAAAGGTCGAAGCATAGTGCAATTCACGAAATATGCTACTCATGATCATAGGTATAAGCCTATAGAAAGAATTACTAATGAAGTTTTGACGAACTAAAATTTTTTTATCATTTTTGACAACAACAAATTAAAAAATCAGACTACTCCAAATCAAATATATCCATATGTCAAATGAAAATTAATCAATTTAGTACACTAGTTTTAAGGAAGGCCAGTTGTTGAAATGCATAATATAGAGTTTGGACAAAGTCAAACATTTTTTTGTTGATTCGTTCGAAACGGCGCACAGACAATTCGGCCAAAAACAATTCAGCCAATTTGAAATTCAGACAATTCAGCCAGAAATATACAGACAATTCAGCCTGAGACAATTCAGCCAGTTTTACAAAACCCTAGATTCGGAAGAAAAAAATTTGGAATTGGAGTTATTTCTCGGTTTAAGGTCGCCGGTGGGCGCGCTACGCGCGCGTCACCGCTTCGCGGCGATAACCGGCTCTAAATTTTGTATAGAGTCCTACCCTCTGTTGGCAAGCTCGCAACACGTTGGCGCGACTGCGGCGGTCACAATTATTGGCTGAATTGTCTTTGGCTGAATTGTCTGCATAATTTTGGCTGAATTGTCTGAATTTCAAATCGGCTGAATTGTTGGTGGCCGAATTGTCTGGACGCGGTTCGAAACATAGCCAGTTTGAGTCGGATCGTCAAAACAAAGCACGGGAGGATCGAACACAGTTGAACACATTTTTTTGGTCGAATTTCCTAACATAGCTTTTTTGGGTCGAACACTGTCAAAGACGTGTTTTCTCTGATCGAGACAGTCAAAACGAAGCTAGTTTCCCCAGTTACAAAGCCAGGGTATAACCTCGGATTTTCTACCAGGAACCTAAAGAGTCCAGGGCAATCCTGGACTTCCTGCCCGAGCCATATAGACACCCTTGCCAAGAAGTCCAAGATAAAAACGTTGGAAAACCAGGTCTGGACACCTGCTAGGCACATTCCCAGGAAATCTAAGAAATCTGATATTTTTTTTACAAAAATGTTTGATAAATTTTTAGTTGCCTTAAATTTTTAGTTGCCTGGACTCTTAGACTTCTCCAGAAAGTCCAGGACAATCCATGCAAAACTTTGACATGTTATTCCCAGATGTTAGAATTGGTTTCAATTGATCTTAAAACTCAACTATAAAAACCGATCCAAATTGACTTTAAATTTACTTAAATCCATGTTTCCAGTCTGAATTTGTTTTTTGTTTTTAGGGGGATTAAAAAGGAGTTGAAGTGACTTAAATCAATTTTTTTTTCGACTAGTTTTTTCAATTTTGAGTTTATGTTGGACTTGTTTGTTTCCTAGCTTTAGAATCTATAGAATCTGGTGCCAAGGTTAAAAGACCAAGTAATGTTGAAAACTCAAACTTCGTTTCAAATTTAAATCATGTGTTAAATCGCCGCGTACTCTTAGATTGATAATATTCAAGGACTCTATATATATTTTGAGCTCAAAATCTGATTTTTTTGATTTGTTGCACATTTTTTGCTCAAAATTTGATTAAACTAACAAGTTTTTATGATTATTTGCATATTTTTTAAATTTCAAAATCTGATTTATTTATACAATTTTCCTGATTTGATGTTTTGTGTTTCTCCAAATCTGGTTGACATTGATTATTTTCTATGATTTCATAGCATATTTTGAGCTCAAAATCCGATTTGTATTGATTTTTTTCTTATTCGTTCTATTTGTTTTTCCCAAAATCTGATTTACTATGATTTTATTTAACAAACTAATTGCATGTTTTTGAGCTCAGAGTTTGATTATTATTGACCATTTTCGTGACTGTTTTGGCTTATATCGATTTTAAATGGTTAGAACTTAAAATTGATCTGCTCAGATTTTCTTTAAAGTAGATTTCAATTTGGCTGGAACTAAATAAGATTTGCTTGATATTTAGTAAATGGAAATGAAAAATTCATACAAATCGATTTAAATCGAACTTTTAAGCACTTAATTTTATCCAAACTTTTCATAAATATTGATTTAAATCGAACTCAAACCAACTTTTGTTTCTCGAAAGTACATTGTTAATCGATTTGGGTTGATATACAAGTGATTTGAAGACTAATTGATTGAATCCAAAACCAGCTATTTCAATACGGGTAATTTGGCATGGATTAACTTTTGACTAACTAGATCAATTTATTTTGCCCTCGAAGTCAACTTCGGAAAAAACCGGTTTTTTATTCCCCTATATCGTATGGGGGGATTGTACTATTGATACTTTTTTGAACAGCATTTTTTGTATAGCTCAAGACTTTTGATACTCAGAAAATGTCTGTTGCCAATGAAAAATTTATCAGACGTGAACTTTAGAATTGTGATAAAAAAATCATTTTTATGGTGGAAATTTTGTGCAGTCGATGTTCTAACTCAAATTTTTTTATTGGGGGATCGATGAGCGGGGGGAAAGCAACCATTCAGTAGCTTTGTTTCAGTGTCATAATTTCACCCATTTTTAGTTGAACAAACGTTTAGTGTGTGGAGTTCGAAAGCTGCTTACAGAAAACTAAGCTTCATGCAACAAAAAGGAGTAAAGCAATGAACTACGGGATCTCTTTTACTATATCCCCCCTCCAGTTGCTAGTAACGAATCTCCATCCCTATAATGAAATGAATCAACGTTAAGCACTTCAGAACTTTGTACCTAGTAGAAAATCTGCCCCTTTTGCAAAAGCAGGGGAAAAAGATCCGGGCAGTGTTCCTCCACGTTTGAATTTCAATTTTGAAAAATTAACTCAACGTTGCGTTGTCATAATGTATTGAATTTTTGCATTGTGAATAAACCATTACGAGTTCAAAATGTGCATTTTGTGAACTTTAAATGGATTCCGCAACAGTATTTGCGGAATCCGGATCAATCTGTGGAATATAAAAAAAATAAAATTTAGGTATAGTAAAACTCAGCTCTTGCGGAATCCTCAACTGTAAGCGGAATCCGTAACTTGAACGTGGAATCCGCAAATTATAAGCGGAATCCGTATTTTGTTTTCGGATTTCAGTAGCATATATAGTTACGCCTTGAATTTACGTATTTTTAAATATTGTTGTCGGTCATCAGCAAGACCGTCCAACAGATTAATCTGCAAACAATTTGAACTCATCGGCTAAATTTCAAATACCATCCAATCTCAAATACTAAAAATGTAACACTTTTGTGATCTCAAATACTGAAAGATTGAAAAATTTTCCAATCCCAAATTATGAATTGTTTTCGATCTGAAATACTGAAAAAATGAGCATTTTTCCAAGCTCAAATACTGAAAGAAAGAAAACCTTTCCCATCTAAAATACTGGAAGAGTGAAAAACTTTCTGATCTCAAATACTGAAGGAAAGAAAAATTTTCCAATCGCAAACACTAAAAGAACAAAAACAAACTGAATTAAATTATTTCATGGGTTATAATACTAAATTATTAAACATTTTCATACAATCCAAAAACTAAAGTGGTACATTCACAATTTTCGTTGATCAATGACTTAGGATGTGTTATTGAATTCCACTAACTATAGTTAAAAACTTGCGGGTTTATTCGACATGTAATAGAGAACAATTTTAGCTATACCTCTTAACTGTTCACGCGAGGACTGGTTCAGTTCAGCATAACAAACAAAACTGCATTACACTTATATTCGTAGAATACGCTTTCAATTGCAAAAACTTGTAAAGATTTGCGGAATCAAAATAACTAGCTATATTTGCTTCTTATTTTAGAATGAGCGAAAAAAATAGTGCCGACAAAATTTACGTTACAGGTGTTTGTTTGCAGAATCCGCGGAAATTTTGTAAGTGGAATCCCCTTACATTTTGGAACATCTTTACAAAATTGTCTCTGGAAATCAGAACCATACAGACACCAATTTTTGCACCTATCCAGTGCACAGTTTGGCCCCGTTATGACTAACTAATTTGATCACATTAGTTTTTCGGATCTTTTCCAGTAACCCTTAATTTTTTCTGAAATTCAATATATAGAAGTCCATTTAAAATGAATTTTTTGTGTTAAAAACTGACAAAATGGTAAAGATTGATTTATATTGATTTTAAACTGATTTCAAAATGAAAAAAATGGATTAAAAATGTACATTTTACGAAAATTAAAAAATTTAAAAAAATTTGGATCAATTTAACTGTCTAAAAATTTTATTTAGTTCGATTTGAATGGATAT